TTTCAGAAAAAAATGCAATTTCTAAAATGAAACCATTTAAACTTATTTGTGTAAATTATAAAGCGAATATTGAATTTTCAATAAAAAGTACTAGTACTCTGATTTCTAGTTCATTTTACGCAAGATTTTAAGATTTTTTTTACTAAGCAATATTTGAATGATAAAACAGCTTTAGTCATTTTTAATGGAGTATATGGAAATATAGTTTAAACTCTCTTGATCATTTATAAAGACATCGTCTTAATTATTCACTGAATATTCTATTTCTTACTCTAATTTATCAATAAAACATCGTTGAGAATAAATTCGGAGTCTTTGTATACTGTGATAAATGACTTTTCACCATAGGATCAAACGCAAGTTCTTTACAATTAATCTTCAGAGACTACGTGTTCTTTAAATAGAAAAAGAACTCTATTATTCGTAAGAAAGTTGGGGTTGTCAGATTTTCCTTATATAATTTGTTTAACACTTTTATTTCTGGAATCATCTTTTGCAAAAATTACTTTTTCTATTATGCAATATCAAAGTCTTCTGTGACTAGCGATGGATGAATAAAAATTATGTATCGTATATTTAATGTCTTACATTTATTTACTGTTTATAAACATTTTATTTATTCATTATGTTTATACATTATATTTATAAATTGTAAATAAAAATATGAGAATTTAAATACCGAAAAACAAACGCATGTTAGTAAAAATGGCACTTCATCGGAGGACACACCACCCTGCCAGCAAGTTGGAGTCTTTCTGTTGTCGGTGGTATAACCGAAATCGGACAGTGTCCCTAGGCCCGGAAAATAAAATAAGATAATAATACAATACCTCAAAAAGTCAAAGATTGAAATAAAAATTAAAATCCAGTGAAATTCATTCATTTTATTTTTATTTAGATCTTTAAATTTTTGAAGTATTGTATTATTATCTTATTATATTTTCCATTATGGGATCCTGGGGGCACTGTGGGATTTTGGTTTCACCACCGACAACAAAAAGGCTCCAGCATGTTGACAGGGCAGTGTATCCAATGTTGATCCACCGTTTTTGCCAAGATGCGTGTCCTTATAGTGCGTTTTTCTTGCATTTAAATTTTCACAAATTTTTTTTATATTGTTTAATTGAGACAACTTTGGTTATAGCTGCTTTAGCGCTTTTCAGTTTTGACATATTGTTTTTAAATTAAATTTTGTTTTTAATTTTTGTTAAATTCTATTTTCATGCCTTGATTAGATATATATATATTGTATTAATATATTAAAAAACCAATGTGTATCAAAGTAATGAAATACAATTTTTTCAATACAATCTTTTGTATTCAAATGAAATATTTAAATTTTAAAAAATAATTTTTTAATCTTGCATAACCTTTATGTTACAAAGCACTGGAAATGCGAAATTATTTGCTTTATTAAGCTCACTGGCTTACAGCTACCACTACTTTCTAAGCACATACAGCTCAAATACAAACCTGAGAAAAAACTACATTACCAGGTAAATTAATATTTTGTAATGCTAACGCAGTACTTGAAACTAATAAAATTAGCACAATTGCTGAAAAATATATCGGTGCTTTTTTAACTCATTTTCTGAGAAACTTCTGAGTGTTGAATCTTATAACTTAAAAAACCATCCATTAAAATTATTTAGCACATTTGAAGTTACTGTTAAAATTGCATCTTAGAACCGATTATTATTAGATGGCCCCTTTATCATTTTGTGTAATGTAGATTCATATTTTTATCTCTATGCTTGACAATAAAATAATTATTTTCTCTTAAGATGTTTTGCATCTAAGTTCGTTATTACACATTTCTCAATATATATAGCACATTTTAAGTATTATCTTGCTTAAAGAGTTAGTACAATAGTTACAGTCAAAAACAAAACTGACTAAAAAACTTATTTCGATGTTTTTAGTAAGAAAATTTTCTTAGAAGAAATTAAAATCACATGGAAAAAATACCATTTAAATAAATAAATAATAATAATAATGCTTATGCAACTTGAAATAAAATACACTTTGCATGCCGTAGTTACAAATACAGCTACTTTTACTTCTCAATTTTGTTGTTATTCATAGATTTCAGATTCAAAACAAGAACCAAGGAAAGTAATCTATAAAAAAGAAGCCTGCGGTAATAAATAATTCAGAAGAATAGAAAGACTTAATGTGACGTACTCCTGGTTTTTGTTATAAAATTTAACAGCGACTTTTATTTAATTTCGCTCTATGTCGTTGTTTGTCTTTTTTCCCTCTAAAAAATTGTCAGAAACATTCTTCTTTCTCTGAGTAGCAATATTTCTCAGGAAGCTTTCTTTTTTAACTTTTTACAAAAAAGTTTTCTTTTTAGGCTTTTATTCTAAACTATTTTATTTAAATCTCGAGCATCGTAGTTCATGAAAAATTCTGGAACCACTCTTTCAACAAAAAGAAGAAAATGCTCTTATTTTTCATTTTCTATTTAGAAGTTGAAGTAACTTAATTTGGAAACGTTTAATTTTGCACACTGTTAGAATTTTCATTCTGAAATTATATGGTATTATAACTGGCAGCATTAAGTCTGCTCATCCAATTAACTGTAAAGTTTACGGTAAGGAACATTTTTAACCTTTACGCTTTTAAAACCGTTTACTTCTGGTATGGTTATAAAACCATGAATAAAGAGCCATACGGATTTTTTAACCATTTACAACTAGCATGATTTCAAACCGTCAAAAAATAAATTTAACTGAACGTATAAGCTAAGGTTTTCGTTAGGTAATGGGCATCGGAGAGTGTAGGACACAAAATGGGGCATACAGGACCCTGGAAACACTTCATGTGTTGTAGGAAACCAAGGAAACATAGTGCTTTCAACACTGGGGCTCGAACACCAGTTCTGTCGATCATGAGATCGACGAATTAGCCCACTCGGCTATAATATGTACGCAGTTTCAAGGAACTAAGTACCTTCATTAGGTCGTTCTAGTGGGTGCAATAAAATTCTGGTTGTTTAACAGAATTAGGAGAAAGCAGTAGTTGCGTGGGATAGTCTGATTGGCAGGGCACTGGACTCACGTTCGTAAGAACCGGAGTTTGAACCCAACCGGCAGAAGACTCCCTGTGCAGTAGTTTTGGTGCACGGTAGGTGGTGACTAGTGCAAGTTAAATCCATTGGGTCACAAAATCTTCCATGTTCCCATAACAAATTATACTCCAAGGGATAGGTGTGGCAAAAGTTGAATTCTCGGCCATAGATGGCGCCACTGGGAAACAAGAACAATCACACCTTGCTTTATTGGCCTACTACAACAACGGGAGGAAGTAGTAAATACACGGTTTTTCTCACTGTTAGCAGTTTGATTACCATTTATTTCTGGTAATTTGACTGGTTTGCTTATCTAATTTTGTTTTAAAAAAAGCACTTATCATTGTTTTGTTATTTATTATTCAATGTCCAACTTTACGAAGCCAGTCTTTACAACATCCTATAAACTAGAAAATAAAAATAAAATAAAAGAATAATATTACTCTATTATGAAAAGTTTTGAGCAAACTGGGTTCACGAAGCGATTATTTTGCAAATTCGACAATGCAGTTTTATGAAAACATTGCTATTTACATTGTAACATTTTTTAAACAATTTAAGCATGCCTCATTGTCTTGCCAATGTGACAATGAAATTCTATGAAAACATTGTTTTTTTAAACATTTAATGTGCTGATTAGAAAAAACAAACAAACAAAAAATATAATTTATTACCAAACTTTTATACAAATCTGTACTGTTTAAGACAATTTCTTTGTTTTGTTCACAGTGCTCTTAACCGTCATTGTCTGGTGAATTTTACTATCCAATTTAATGAAACTATTCAACATCAAATGGAAAAGAAAGAAAAAAAGAACAAAATCAGTTTATAACCAAATTTTTTATTTAAACTTCGTTAGTTTAGACATTTGTTTCTACTTTTTGCTCACAACAAAACTACTTCTTATTAACTCGTTAATAATAATCTCGTTAACTTGTTTAACAAATTGTATAAAGGCGGCGATTTTATAACAATAGAACGGAGAAAACGATAGAAACGATCTGGTAAAATTAATGTGCTATACGGCAATTATATTTCTAGTAAAAAAATAAGTAAAGACATACATTTGTTAATAAAACCAAAATATATAGTATTTAAACCATTTATTCGAGAATTATTCCGGTCATTCAATAACAATTTACCGAGAATCAATTTTTTTCTTCAAAATTATATCTCTTATTACCACACATTTAGTAAAAAATAATAAACTGAAAAGTAACTCTAACCTTATAAATAGTTTTAATGCAATGTTCTAAGGTAGCATGATTAATTTACAAAATATATCGCATATTATAAAAACCATATTATATTGACAATTTTGCCAAAATCAATACCAAAGTGCGGATGACGCGCTTAAATTTGTTGTGGACTATGTCACAGCTGCTAAACACGAAGGTAAACATACAGTGGGCGTCGCCATGGACATTAAAAATGCTTTCGGCTCTGCCAGTTGGAGGCTGCTTAAGCAGGAATTAAATAGTTTGGGTTTGGGCGACTCGGTGCTGGAGGTGGTTTTTGATTTTTTAAACAATAGATATGTTTGTTTTAATCGAAATGATGTTCTTATAGAATCACCAACCAATGTAGGGGTACCCCAGGGTTCGTCCCTGGGACCCATTTTATGGCTCATACTCATTAATTCATTGATCGTCAATTTTGGCTATCATGATTGCAGTTTGCTTGCCTTCGCCGATGACGTCTTTTTACTGATGAAGCATTCAATACTCTATAGAATCGACAAAATAGGCTCATATATTATACAGTCTCTTACGGACTGGACCAGGGAACACAGCCTTGCTTTCGCACCTGAAAAGACAAAATTGATCACATTTCTTAAAGACGCCAAATGTCTTAGAAGGCAACCGCGTATCAAAATGGCTGGAACAACTACTGCCAATATTAAACCAGTAAAAACACTTAGATATCTTGGCGTGATTTTTGACCCTCGGTTGAGCTGGATGCCACATCTCGAGCAGTTAAAGTCCGATGTCGACATCTTTTACAACAAAATGAAACAGTTCAGTAGAGCCACCTGGGGCTTGTCCCCAAACATTCTTAAACAAATTTATCTCCGAGCTATTGAGAAAAAAATCACTTACGGAGCCTCTGTATGGTATAAAAATAACGTGAAAATTAATAAGAAGTTGAACTCCATACAGCGCATCCCACTTCTAAATATCACCAAATGCTACTCCACCACCAGCACAGAGGCTCTCCAAATTCTTGCTGGTATTCCCCCATCGACCTAAAAATTAGACAGACTTGTACTATAAAGAAACATCGGTGGACGCGAGATAAGCAAATCATTTTCGATGGCGACTTCCAAATCAGAGAACTAGATGCCTTACCGATAGATACCCCAGTACACCATAATCCCTTGGATCTCAAGATGATAGAAAGGGGCTACAGCTCACCGAGGGGTGTGGGTTAGGAAATCTATACAGACGGCAGTAGAAGACAAATAACAAATTCGGATACAGGGTTGACCGAGGATAGAGTGGGCTGTGGTTTCTTGGTGAAGCTTAATAACTACACCATTTATCAACACTGTGCTAGACTTAATAACGATGCAAGTGTATACCCCGCCGAACTCACTGCCATCAAACTTGCAATCACATGGGCAAACGCTGAAAATATTAATGCATTTAATTTATTCTCTGATTCTAAATCCTCGCTGCAGTCGCTAGAAAACCCAAATCCGAATGACCCACTTGTGGAAGAAATTAAGAACATGGTCAAATATAAAACATGCTGTCTCAACTGGGTAAAGGCACATTCTGGGGACATTGGCAACGAGGAAGCTGATGCACTTGCCAAACAAGGCACTCTTCTTGGCGGGGTTGATCACTATTATCCTCTTTCAAAACCACAAATCAATTACAGACTGAGGCAGGTAAGCAACGCAATTTGGCAGGACAGGTGGTCAACCACAACAAATGGGAGACATACCTATATCTTCTACCAAATGGTCAAGGAGAATAGACTCCCCAGCGATTTCTTTCTTAATCAATTTCTCACGGGCCATGGAGTTTTCGGCGAGCATCAAGCTAGGCTATTCCAAGCTACAGCCAGCTGTAAATACTGTGGAAAATATCAATCCCTTAAACACCTAATTTGCCGAATGTGACAAATTCCGGACACTCCGAGGAAATCTCTTTCGTAATATGAACGACTTGACTCTTTGGTTCCGATCTAACGCACAAAAATATGCTATCACTGAGATTATTAAACGTACCCTGGTAGATATAATGACACCAGACGATCTCATGGACCCTCTTTATATGAATCAAATTTAGATATTTGCTCCTAATTAACATCTCTCGGGGTTGCATAGCGACCACCTGCCCTGCCACAAACAGCTAAATGCTCTTAATGCTTTCTTTAAATTCTACTCATTTCACTTCATTGCTATTTATTTGTTTTTAACTTTGGAACCCTTTTGGTTCAATGATATTTTATATTCTGGAAGCCTGTTGGTTCAATATCAATGTTTTCAATGCTTTATCACGTTTAAATTGATTTTTCTTGTCTAATTTACCTTTTGATCCAATGTTTTTAATGTTTACAATCTTTCACTTACCTGTTTACCCTCTTGGATCCAATGTTATATACTGTATTCTTTTTCAGATTGTTGTAGTTAGTAATATTCAAAGATACTTAGGAAATCATGTAATGCTATATCAAATTCGTTTCTATTCAAATCTAAGGCATACAAGTCATTGTCAACTAAAATTATAGGATGTCAACTAAAATTTAGGATAAGCGTTAAATATTATTATATTTATTTATTATTCATTTATTTTTTGTTTTATTATTCATGTTTATCATTGTAAATTCTCATCTTCTTTTGTTTTCAAACTGGATTTTGTTTTGTATCCTTTTGTTGATCAATAAATTTTCACCCCGGATGCCCCCGCTAGGGGGCGGGACGGGGCTGAGCTTTGAAATACCAAAGTGCTTCGGTAAAAACTACCGGGCTTTTTGGTATTTATATGGAATCAAAAACATGGTAAATTTTACCATATTCTGGTAGTTATAAACATACTTTTTTTCTCAGTGCATGTATTATTTATTGCATAAATTATTAATTATTTTCATGCAAAAACTGTAAAATTGTCCTTTATTAGCATTAAACGCATATGTTTTTAAATAATTCTCTTTAAAAGAAAGAGTCAAAATAAAGTTATAATATTAAGATTTATTTTTAAATCTTTGTTATAAATCATTAATTAAAAAGAAAGAAATATGAATAAAACAGCAAGCATATAAATCCCATCAAGTAATAAATATCTTTTGAGACATAAAATAAAGCAATAATACTCCGTAGAAAATTAGATATTAATAAACAATTGGGGACATTTTTTTGCCAAGAAATGAAACAATAAATATATTCATAAGCATTGATGAATCATTATTGCCACATCGAATAGTCTTTTGTTGAAATGTTTCACACTTCATGGTCTCCCTATTATAACCATAATTTGTTACCAGACTATCTCATTCAAGTGAAATATGGCTGTCTCATTCATTGCATGTTAAATAAAGAATTGGAAATTGAGACGAAATCCTTACAAAAGCTTAAACAATTATTCTGTCATAAAAACAAAATTTATTATCTCCAATGTTTATTGAGATATAATAATGCATTATTTTCGTTTGCTGAAGAGTTCGATTGGGGAATAAGTGTAACATTACGAACGATCTCAAATAAATTAGAGGACATTTCTTTTCTTAAGTGGTATTATGTATAAGCTTCTGTTTATAACTTTGATTATGTTGAAACAAAATACTTGAAGCATTTCAATATTTTTTTTCCTAAATTATTACCATTTTTTCTCGGATGTTATTCTAAATCAATCTTTAATTCTTTTCCTGAGAATGTGGAATGTGCACTATATGAAAAATATGTTAAGGTAGTTCAAGTATTCTTCATTTTTTTTTTTATTTTATCACCGTCGTTGAACAAATCGTTGAATTTACCACTACCAATGTTCAACTCCGTATGCTTGTTATTTTGCACCCAATTCAAAAGACAAGGAAACTTCCGGATCAAGTATTGGAAGAAATGTGTCTTCAAGGAGCACTTTTTGATAGAACTAACAGGCATTAGCATTAGATGGGGAGAAAAATCACGAAAACCGTCCACGGTCAGCCTAATGGCAAGGGGTCTCCAGCCCATGATCCGTCTACCACATAGGAAATTTATTATAGTGTGGTCAGTGCAAGCCGGGTGCATAATTCGTATCGACCTGCCCTAGCTGGGATTCAAATCCGGGTCACTCACCTCATTGGGAGGCGAGCGCTCTATCCCCCCTTAGCCATCGCGACTCAAGCACTCTTTACTTTTAAAATCTGCTAAAGCAAAAGAACCCTAGGGTTTTTCGTCAGTCAAAGGTTAAATATTTCTTAATCTTTAAAATTTAATGAAAGCAATATAAAGCATTGATTTCAAATTTATATAATCGCATGTGATTTCATCTAAACAGCGTGAATAACGCGCTAACAGTGCTACAAAAGCATACATACTTTAGTAATGGTTCCATGATCTACGAGTTATGGTTCTACGAAACACAAAAACAATCGATTAAATCGAATTAAATATAGCACAAACTTAGTCACACAAAAAAAATATTATAGTTTTGGTTCTATAATCAGGAGCCATACTAAATGTCGAAACATAAAAACAATCGATTAAATCAAATTGAATAAATCACAAATAAAGCCACTAAAGCAGACATATTATAGTTTTGCTTCTACGATCAAGGGCCTTACTAAATTTCAAAACATAGAAACAATGGGTTAAATCAAATTTAATAAAGCTCAAATAATGCCATAGCAACAGACATAATAAAACAATTAATGAGTTAAGTTTGGACTCCTGTGACTCAATATAAAAATAAAACAAATTAAATGTTGATTAATTGCAAGAGAGAGAAGATTTTAATCACATTATTGTGATCATGGTTACCCATTAGTCAAACTTTTTCTTCCGGGTAGACTCTTATAAAAGCCAAAAAATTTCAATTTGGAAAAACGTTGCTGTTTGGCAACTACGCAGTTTTTGTAACTTAACAAAGGCTGAAAAAGATGCATAGGTTGCAAAATTGATGTTTATTCTCTTGTCGTTCAATGAACTTTTCCTTTTCTTCTTTTCTTTTCAAAATTCTTTTCATTTTTTATATTTATGTTACCGGCAAAGTATGAAACGCCGACATTCTATAAAATGCCTAGGCATTGTATATAATGCCGGATGTTTTTAGGCAAGGTATGAAATATGAGAAGTATGACATACTTTCCCTAGGTATTGTATATAATACCTCGGCAATTCTATAGAATGACAAATGCTATTTAGGCACAGTATGAAAATAAATTCCTGTTGAGGTTATTATGAAAATGATGTGCATTTCTCAAAAATAAAAATGTTATTCTGAAAAAATAATGACAGTGCCATTAAAAAAATTTATTCAAAATGCATAAATAAAAATGAAAGCTGTACAAAAACATAATTTATGCCTTTCTTATTAGGGGAAGCAAAATTTTCGTATAAAAAATTCACATTTAAGTCACAACTATTTTCAGTTTAGAAACATATATTGCACAAAATATCTATTTCATCACAGAAGATTTTATAATTTGCCGGTTTCTCATTTGGCATTCTATAGAATGCCTAGGAAATGTGTGAAATATAAATCGTTTCACACATTGCCGGCTAGTTTTAGGCATTACGTACAATGCCTAGGCATTCTATAGAATGCCGGATATCAAACTTTGCCGGTAACATTTATATTAAAATCGCCGCCAAGACAGTCGATGTAAATAAGTTACTCTAAAGAGAACATAAAAATATTTTAAATTAATATTCGAAAAAAAACAATAAAATTACCACAGGTGAGAATAAAAATTAAGAACAATCAGGAAAACAATCAACTTCAAGAAGTTCCAAAATTATGATCTTCTTTGTACATTTGATCTTGATATGCTGTCTCTTTATTAATGCTTATGTTATTCTGATCTTTTCTTTTAACTTTTGCTACCCTTCATTTTTATTTATGATGTTGAAGTTGATCTATTCGATGAGTTTTATCTAGTAGATAAAGTTGGTCCAGTGAACGAGTGTGCGGTCATGAAAAACCTAGAACAACACCTATTTTCCCAATGAGTAACAGTTTTGGTTTTATGATCATTGATCAAAAGACTTTCTCAATGTCTAAACACAAAATATCGAGTGAATCGAAGTGAATAAAACACAAATGAGGCCACAAAACAGATTTGATAAATGTATTTTTTTGCGCTAAATATCAAAAACCATCCTTAAGGTCAAAACACAGAATATCGAGTAAATCGTAATGAATAAAACACAAATATTGCCACAAAACAGATTTGCTACAGTTTCTGTGCAAAATATTAAAAACCATCCGTAAGGTCAAAACTCAGAATATCGAGTAAATCGCAATAAAGAAAGCACAAATAATGCTACGAAACAGATTTGTCGCAGTTTTGGTTCCAAGTATCAAAAACCATCCTCAAGGTCGAAGGACAGAATATCGAAATAATCGAGTGAATCGCAGACTTGACATCTTCCAATCTTCTTCGCACCTACGAATATCATAGATTACTATACAACAATATTAAGTGTAATTTTTATGTAATTACTATAGCATATCAAACACTTTTTAATCATCAAACTGCATTTTTCTATAATGAACCTGATTTTATCCCCATTGATTTGAAGGGACAAAAGTTTCGTGCCCTTACACGAATAAACTAAACAAAGTCTGAAATTGAAAAAAATTTAAATCATTATTTCACTGAACTTAGTTCGTTAATATCGATATTTTCACTAATGTTTATAGTTCACCTACTTCCAAAAACAGAAATACCTTCGAACTATATGTTCAATATATGACTGAAATCTCGAAAAAGTTAAATAGATTTTAACAGAGAGTAAATTTATAAGTTAGGTAACATAAGAGTCACTGACAAAAAAATATAGATAGCAACAAAATATGCAAATATCTTTGTATATTCACGATAATTATAAAATGGCAGCTTTCTCTTCAAAAAAGACACCAATTCCAAACAAGACACGAATGGTTACTTTAACTGAAGTATATTTTTGGTTCATGT